ATCCTATTCCCTTGCATGAACCCCCAAGATTTACTCGTGTACGTAAATAGTTTATTCAGACAACACAGTACAAAAACCTATGCAACCAATAACACTTGTACAACGATCCCACAATCACGACATTAATTTATTGGGCACGCCCATGCATGCGTTGACCTTCTCTTCATCCTTATCCACTTTTGTTCCTCCAATTTCCACTCCCAGTTTCCCTATTTCCACACCATTCTCTCTCAGCCATTAATAAATAACAAATTAAACTACCTCGCAAATATCATACCTATATGAGTACAATTAATCCTCTTTCGAGAAAACCGTTGGAGATATTTTAGCACCACACATTTTCTATTTTTATATATATATATGCCTTACTCTCCACCTTTAAAGCTTCTCTCTTGCTAAACAAGGAAAAAAAAAAAACAAAGGAAAAAAAAAGATATTATGGGGCTTCTTGATCAGCTTTGGGATGATGTTGTGGCCGGGCCTCAGCCCGAACGCGGCCTCAAACACCTCAAGAAAGGCTACACCAACAACTTGAACATCAAAGGTTTGCTTAAAATTATGGGACATTCTATAGTCCCGTCACGAAACTATTCTGTCGAGATTTGTAACCGTTAGATCAACTACCCATTTCCTGACGAACTGTAGCACTTCCCTTAAATTTATATCACCGTAATTAATTTCCTAAATAAAAAACACACACTCACACGTGACACGTATACGTGTGAACTAACAATTATATTATTTTGTGTTTTGGTGAGTAGACATTGGAGAGGGTAGCAGCGGGCCCAAGTACGCCAGGTCACTGTCCATGCCGGCGAGTCCCGGGACGCCTCCGACGCCGGGAACGCCGTCGCCGACGGCGGCCAACGTGTGGCGGAGCGTTTTCAACCCGGGAAGCAACCTGGCCACTAAGAGCATCGGGTCGGATTTCTTTGACAAGCCACAGCCCAACTCTCCCACTGTTTACGACTGGTGCACGCGCTTCTCTTTTGTCATTTATATGGGTTTTTGTTCAAATAATTTATGGCAGATGCTACGGTCCCGTTACAGAATCATTTCGTAAGGTTCGTAAACGTTGGATCATCATATAATCGTCGAGATAGTTGATCTAACGATTACAAATCCTGACGAAATAGTTCCGTAACAAGACTGTAGCATTTCCCATAATTTAAAATTGTCTCAAATCGTGCCGCCTTGTGCAGTCCAGAATAAAATAATATTTAATTCTGTTAGGTGGTTTGAAATTTTTTGTATTACTAAAAAATTAATTAAGATGAAATATTTTATGCAATATTGCAGGCTGTATAGTGGAGAAACTCGTAGCAAACA